ATTACCACAAGCTGGTGGTTTACTATTCCCACCCAAATAGGGTGATCTATTTATTTATTTGTTAGATTTATTTTGGTCACTTTAGTTTATTCTTTGTCAGTATTTAATAACATAACCCAAGTTATTTTTCTTTAAAACAATTCTGTTATGGTTAAAAAAGTTGGTTAAATAAAGATTTAATTTGAAGTCTGTGTTTGTGTTTTTTATTAAAATTAAATCCTTTAGCAATTTTATAAAAAGTCCAGGCAGAGCTGCACATAAAATATGCTTTCAAATCTTTTCAATAATTATCGATATCGATCAATATGCTTTTTTGTTTATCGATAAGCTTTTTTTCTATATCGCCCAGCCCTACTTTCCAAGTTTAAATAGTAAATGGTCTAAACTTATACAACATTTGCCCAAGTCAAGAGACTTAACCTAGGCGCTTTACACTACATTCAGTCCTTCACCCATTTACTCATTTACTCATACACTGATGATGGTAAGCTAAGCTGGAGCCACAGCTGCCCTGGGGCTAACCGACAGAAGCAAGGCTGCCGTACACTGGCGCCACTGGACTAAAATCAGTAGACAATGCGGGTGAAGTGCCTTGCCCATGGACACAATGACACTGAAAGCCAATCAGAAGCTGAAAGCAAAAGCTTGAACCATCAAAAAAATAAGGTGCGCAAGGATTAAACATAAAGCCCAGAATAACTTTTACCAGAGAGAATGTGGACAAAGAATATTGAATATTATTGGACACCAAAGCTCAAGACATTAATGAAATGGAACATGCATTCCTGGAAATTGCCCTATACCAACTGTGAATTATAGCCGAGGAAGCATTATAATCTGGGGATTCTTTGCAATCAAAGGACCGAGCCATTCTCAAGAAAATGTGAGACAATCTGTACAAAAAAAAATTTAAACTGAAGGAGACTGGCCAAAGAAATGGACAAGTAAACACAAGTGAACCCTTCGCACAAACAGAAAGGAATAAACAGAAAGTTGAAAAGTTTCAGCTCATTTAGATGCTGTGAGGTTACTTAAAAACATTTTCTACATGTCTTTTGCTAGCTTTCTATAATATTACTTATTTGCTTAATCAGGTCATTGTAAAATGATTTACTGGTTAAAAATATTACTGTCTAGTGATGCCACCCCATACACAATGAGCAACCGCCAATCTGAAATTACAGCTGCAGTTACAAGCAAGCATGTACTAGAAATACTAACATGTAACTGTTAACAACTGGAAACGCCTGAAAGGAAGACAAACACCCTCAATTTCAATTTTTTTTGTGTGTCACATAAGTGGACAATGATTTAAATCCATAAAAAAAAACAAGGTGGTTGTAATCTTTGACATTATTATAGGTAGTCGGTACTAACTGAATAAACTTCCACTAATTTTATGCACTTTGTTGAGAACTGCATAAAAACTTTGTGGTTTTTGAAATTTTTGAAGTTGGCATTTAAGTTAGAGGCTTAGTGTTCTTTTAATGTTCACTTTTATTATTAAAATAGCTGTTAAAGTGGCACTTCAAAAAAAAAAATTATTTTTTCTTTCTGCACAATGATAAAGATAATTCCTATTAATTTCTTACTTAAGTGTAAATGTATAATAACTCATAATTAAAGGTATAGAGGACGATCTGTTCTTTCCGGGTGGATCATCTTAATAAGTGGTCCTCCTAACTGTCAATCATTCTGGTGATATGTTTATGTAAGGTGGACCTACGTGCTCGTCCTCTTTTGTACATGCGCACTTTCAGGCGTATATCTGTGCAGAGCTACGGTTTCAGACAGTCATCGAAGCTCACCTTTCTCACCACAGTTCTTTGAAAATGGTGGAGAGTCGTAAGAGAAACAGTGTCTATAAAGTGTATGGGAAGAAAAACAAGGCCTCAGAAGAGGCAGATAGATCCCAGAACGCTTTCCCAGAAGAGCTCTCCTCGCAAAGCATTATGGGATTTGCTGTCACTATAGGCTGTCGCTACCCGACAGCGGCGACTAATAGCAAAAAAGGCGCATGCACCGCACGGTGGAGGCAGTGTTACGTGACCAATGGGGAGCAAAAAGCAGTGATCATCTGTCCAAACAGTAAGTTAACAGAGTTTGCTATAAAAGTCCATTATATAGTCACAGCTCTATATAGTGATTGAGGGATTTACCTTGGAGGAGCGTTTGGGTAAGCTTGTATGAACTATGAGAATAGCAACTTTTAAACAGCGTGCACAAGGAGAAATGGGCTGTGCATGCTCTTTCATGCGTTTGACAGGTATTCCCTCTTAAAAGCGGATACAGGCTTGTGCATAGGGGTGTAAATCACATCCATCTTGGCGATTTAGTTCAGTATTAGTTTCCTGACCCAATGATTCGATTATTTTTGATACTTAAGAACACACCACGATATGATTCAATTAATTTGTTTGCTTTTTTTTATCTTAAAGGCTAGACAATGTTTCCAATTTGAAATAAATCAATGAAAGCTGTAATGTTGTTATATATTTTATAAGAACAGCAAATAACAGAAGTAGCAAAGTTGTACTCCACCTAGGCCTATGAAAACCTCATTCAGTGAGAAATAATGATGCCTCTTTGTTTACGCGAGTGCGTGTGCAAGTGGAAAGAGGGTAGTGGCTAAAGGAAGCGAGGTAGGAGGGCAAAATAGGTTTAACGCCACCGCAGCACGGGAGGGAGAATTACGTCCAGGAGCAAATGGATAAAAATAGACTGGTGGGAAAAAAAAAAGAAAACATGAATCAATACTCTTGCGGACGTGTCGATGCATGGGATTATCGGCTGCTGGATTGATGAATCGATATAAAACGATTAATATTTACTGTACCCCCCCTACTTGTGCATGTGTCTTTTGGAGAGGGCAAGTCGTTATGTCATCAGAAGTTAAAGTTCATATCTGTAAGAAGGTTCCCTTGTGGGTAGAAAGCAATGTATTTACTTATGGGAGAGGCTGATAAGGTTGTTGGTTTGAAAACTAAAACCAATACTGACCATGAAACAAAAATGTCTAGGTTAAGATGCAGATGATATATTTCCCTACTGAACACAACGAGGACTTAATTAAAATCATATTAATTATCATTGTAAGTAATAAGTATAAGACAAATATTTTGAATATCACATAAGTCACTGATAGTTTAACATTTTGAACATTTCTGACATTTCT